GCAGCCCTCAGCCACCTGCCTGCTCCCCGCCAGGCACCCAGCAGCCCTCAGCCACCTGCCTGCACCCCGCCCCGGGCGCCCGCCGGGGACGCGCCGGCGCCCACTCACCCCGTGCAGCTTCATGTAGAGGCCGCAGGCGTTGCACACCGGCTCACCCTCCGCGTTGCGCCGCCAGAGCGTGGTGGTGGCCGTGTGGCAGTTGGAGCAGCAGAGGCCACTGCGGCGGGAGGAGGACTGTAGTGATGGAGCCAGTGTGAGCCCCGGCCAGGGACTGCGGCGCCTGGGCTCGGGGGTGGGGAGGGGCTCGCTGCCCCTGTGAGCAGCGAATGCTGACTGCAGCGGAAAGCACGGAAGCTAGACTCAGGACTGACTGGCAACTAAAGGGGCTCCACACCAGGGCGGGTGAGGCGTTTAGAGTCCGTGAGGTCGCCAGTCCTGCCTCTGACCGGCCGAGGACATGGTCTCCCTGCTCCTCCACGCCCTCGAGCCCAGGACAGGTCCCTCCGCCTCTTGGTCTCTGCTTCCTGCTGGTAAAGGCGCTGTGGGCCTTCCACGGTGGGCTGTGGCGCCCCAGCCATGAAGACACAGACATGTGGTTGTCATTTTTCTGGCTCTGGGTCATCCATGCTGGCCTTTCACCCACCCTGCATGGCTGGGTGGGGGCCTGGAAGGGGCCTGTGGCTTTGGGGTTCTGCTTCCACACATAGCCATATGGGGGAGTAGAACCCCAAAGCCACAGGCCCCTTCCAGAGGCCAGGCCCAAGGGCAAGCTCACGGCCTGCTGTTCCCTGGGAACACTCTCCCCAGCTCCCCAGTGGATGGGGCCAGGCCTCTGTCCCCAGCAACCAGTGGACGGGGTGGTGGTGGATGGGGTAGGTGGTGGTGGGCAGGGGTAGGTGGTGTTAGATGGTATAGGTGGTGGTGGATGAGGGTATGTGGTGGTGGATGGGGGTAGGTGGTGGTGGATGGGAGGGAGGTTGATGGGGGGGTAGGTGGTGGTGGACTGGGGTAGGTTGTGGTGGACAGCAGTGGGTGGTGGGTAGTTTGGGGGGTAGATGGTGTCAGGTCGCTGCTCTCAGCCTCTACTCTACCTTTGTGTGCACTGCCCCCTGGACAGGGTACCAAGCCATGCAGAGGTGCTGTGTGCCCACCCGGCCCATGGCTCCCAGCAAAGACTGACCCCTGTCCCCAATCCCACCAGAGACCCCAGACCTCCCAGCACTGCGGCCTCCAGGACCCTGAGCCATGGGTCTGCTGGGACTCTGGGATCTAGACCTAGCAAGATGTCGGTGGCTCATGCTCTAATCCTAGCTACTGAGGCTGAGATCTGAGGATCCTTGTTTGAAGCCAGCCCAGGCAGAAAAATATGAGCAATCCTACCTCTAATTAACCAACTAAAGGGAAGAAGTGGAGCTACAGCTCAAATGGCAGAGCAAGGCCTTGAGCCAAGTGAGAGCAGGGCCCTGAGTGTAAGCCCCAGTGCTCCCACGGGGGAAAACAGCCCAAACACAACGAGGAGCCGAGGAGCTGCTGCCGCCCAGGCCCAGCCACCTGCCCGGCCACGTCCCCCGTACAGCTCTGCCTCTCCTCTGCCTGGCCCTGGCCCACCTGCCCGGCCACGTCCCCCGTACAGCTCTGCCTCTCCTCTGCCTGGCTCTGGCCCACACCCTGGCCACGTCCCCCGTACAGCTCTGCCTCTCCTCTGCCTG